GCGATGAAAGGAGACAGAGACAGAGACCCACACGGGAGCACCGGACAGAAATCTCAAGGTCCAAATCAGGAGCAGAAGGAGACAGAGCACGAGCAAGGAACTCAGGACCACGAGGGGTGCACCCACACACTAAGACAATGGGGATGTTCTATTGGGATCTCACCAAGGCCAGCTTGCCTAGGTCTGAAAAAGCATGGGATAAATCCGGACTAGCTGAACATAGCGGACAATGAGGAATACTGAGAATTCAAGAACAATTGCAGTGGGTTTTTGATCCTACTGCACGTACTGGCTTTGTGGGAGCCTAGGCAGTTTGAATGCTCACCTTACGAGACCTGGATAGAGGTGGACAGTCCTTGGGCTTCCCACAGGTCAGGGAACCCTGATTGCTCTTCGAGCAGATGAGGGGGGGGGACTTGATCGGGGGAGGGGGAGGGAAATGGGAAGCGGTTGTGGGGACGAGGCAGAAATCCTTAATAAATAAATAAATTTAAAAAATAAAAAAAAAGATGATATTGAGAAAACAGGGAAGATGATAGAAAGAGAGGAAGGAAGGGGGAAAGACAGAAAGAGAACACAAGAGAACCTATTATAAGTTAGGAGCTACATTAAGTATCCTGAACACTGGAAAACAGAACATTCCTGTTGAGACCAAGCTGGGGCAGGAGGCTGCCCTTTCGTCACTACGATGACAGATCCTGAGACTCGGGGAAGAGTTTGCATTCAGAACGGCAGTCCTTCACATACATACACCCCGTCAGGATCAGACAGAGACATGGGGATTCCTCAAGCTGCAACCCCACCACCCTCTCCCTTCCCATCCTCACAGCTTCTCAAGACAGGCTCCTTTGGCCTAATCGCCTCTCAGCAGCCTCTTGGTGCCAGCCCCAGGCAGAGCTGGCTGGCTACAGTATAAGGCTAAAGGGACAAAGCCTGGCTCTGAGTAGTACGTCTGCTCAGGCTTATAAATCTTCAACTGCACCCTTGCCTATGGACTTGAACCTCAGTAATCAACAAGCACGGGAGTCAGATATGAAGTGCACAGCAGCTGTCTGTGGCCAGTGATGATGGGACCGGAACTCCAGAGTAAAGCTCCCAGGTGGCTGTCACTATGTCACCTGCAGACACAGTGACATTATCTGTAAGGAGAGTCTGGGGTGTTTCCAGAAGAGAAGCACTCGGGGGCCGGTGCAAGGATTCAGTAGTAGCTGATGGTGATTAAGGGAGGGGGGCCAGAGAGAGCTCAGAAACAAACAGGATGTTTGGCAGAAAATGCAAGCTATCCTCAATATGAGCCCAGGAGGAGAGGTAGACCTGTGGCCCTACAATGGTGCCCTATCTGAGATGAGTAATATTTTTTCCATGTTTTCCTAGGAATAATGTCACATAACAACACGCCATAGAATGCACATGGAATCTGAGGATGAGTTCAAAGGTCGTGAACTAACTGACTTGGTAGTGGAAATGTCAAACCATCTGTGCTAGCTAGTTTTCTGTTAGCATAAAATAGTCATCTGAAAGGAGAAAACCTCCAAAGAGAAAATGCCTCTGCAAGACTGGGCGGTAGGGCGTTTTTCTTAGTGATTGATGGAGGAGCCCACTGTGGGTGGTGCTACTCATGGACTTTCTGTCCTGGGTTCTATAAGAAATCAGGCTGAGCAAGCCATGTAGAGCCAGCCTCTGTATCAGCTCCTGCATATAACATCAGGTGTTGTATAGGACTCCTGGAGAGTTTTCTCATTTGCTTATGCGTACACATACATAACATACACAGATAGGTAAGCCCACTACAGATCAAAGAATGAAGTCCAACTTAGTGAACCGTGAGTTTTATTGGAGTTTCTCACAGGAGCAGAAATTACTCAAAGACGGCTGTATCACCAAAGCCCATCCCAGCATGTGTGACAGTTCACAAAGCCAGGAACCTGCAAATAACCACACATATACACAGCCTGCAAATAATTCAACAGGTTGGAGTGTCCGTTCCAAGTGCCTCAGTTGCTCTAAACCTCTTAAAGGCAGGTGGTCTGGTCTCAGTCTTTGAAGCTCGGTTTACCTAGGAGTTTTCTTTTCTTTATTTGCATGTTTGTTTTTGCTTATGTTTTTGTTTTGCGAGTCAGGGTTTCGCTGTAGTTTTAGAGCCTGTTCTGGAACTAGCACTTGTAGACCAGGCTGGCCTCAAACCCAGGCCAGCCTGAGATCTGCCTGCATCTGCATCTGCCTCCCAAGTGCTGGGCGCCACCCCCGCCCAGCTTCCCAGCTTGCCTTTAATCATGGTGTTTCATCATAGTAATAATCATGCTAACTAAGACTACAGCATACTGGATTTATGTTTATTACTGGCTCCTTTTAGCTAGCCAAGAACTCGAAACACAAAAAGCAGAGCAGAAATATTGTTATAACCTATATATAGTCTTGGGGCTGAGGATACGGCTTAGTGGGCTGGAGAAATGGCTCAGTGGTTAAGATCATCGCCTGCTCTTCCAAAGGTCCTGAGTTCAATTCCCAGCAACCACATGGTGGCTCACAACCATCTGTAATGAGGTCTGGTGCCCTCTTCAGGCCTGCAGGCATACATACAGCAGACAGAATATTGTATACATAATAAATAAATAAATTTACGGAAAAAAAAGATACGGCTTAGTAGTTAAAGAGGACTTGCTGCTCTTCCAGAGAGTCTGGATAGTTTCCAGTAACCATGTTGGGCTGCTCTCAGCCACCTGTAACTTCAGTTCCAAGAGATTCCACTCCTTCTTCTGATTTGTGTGGAAAACTACACATATGTGGTGCTTACAAACATAACAGGAACACACACATCAATCACAAATCTTATATTTTTAAACACAGTCTTGACCAGGATGGTAGCAAATGACTTTAATCTGAGCTCTAGTAAGGCAGAGGCAGGTGAATCTCTGTGAGTTCCAGACTAGGCCAATCCACACAGAAAGTTCCAGGCCAGGTCTAGGCAGAGTTACATATGGAGACTCTGTCTCAAAGTTGGGGGGGGGGGACCCTATGGGTAGGGGCTGCCCAGGACTACTGGAGCTCAGATCAAACCAATGCAAGGTACTGGACATGATGCTACAAGACTTGTTTTTCTTGTTAGGTTCTAGCCTCATTCTGTTCCACTGCTTCAGTCCTGTCTGGAGTGGTGTTAATATTCATTACCCAACAACACAGAGGTGAAAGCAAAAGGATCCAGTGTTCAAGGTCATTAGCTATACCAAGCTCTGGAGGCCTACCTGGATTACTGGAGACACTACCAAAACCAAAAGACTGGGCACAGTGGCCATGGCACAAGCCTTTAATCCCATCCCTCGCGAGGACAAGGGATTTTTTAAGTGTGAGGCCACTCTGTTTATATAGGGAGTTCCAGGACAGCACAGTGAGACCCCCGTCTAAAATAAATACATATAAATTAAAACCACAAGTCTCAAGGATATATGTCAAATTTATGTACCTCCAGGAAACCAGAAAGGTAGCAAGGGTGGTTCCAGGAAGATGAAACAATGAATCTGAAATAAAACAAAAGGCTGGATGTAAGCTTACAGAGCTATTTAGCTACCCTCTAGGGCATGCATTGGCAGAACTCATTTGCAACCCATCAGCTTCTTGCAAGTCAGTCTCTACTAGAATAGTGAGTGTGTGGACTTCAATCACAGAAAAGAGAAAAGAAAGAAAGAAAGAAAAGAAAGAAAGAAAGAAAGAAAGAAAGAAAGAAAAGGGGGTTAAGGCTGGAGAGATGGCTCAGAGGTTAAGAACTGGGTTCAGTTCCCAGCACCCACATGGTAGATCACAGTTGTCTGTGACTCCGGTTCCAGGGGACCTGACACTCATGCACATAAGATAAAATAATAATAATAATAACAATCTACTACATTTAAATCGCCAGATGTCCCAAAATGAATTTGGTAAATGATGTGAAGAAACTGGACAGCTCTTAGTCATCTTTCTGGAGTATCGTCAACTTTTCTATGAATTTTTTCTTAAAATGCCTCTCCCTCACGCACACACCCAACTCTCTGTCTCCTCTTGTTGCTGTCTTTCTTTCCGTCTTTGAAACCTATCAGTCCGTGTTACTGTATCTCTACTCTCCGTCTTTTCTCCCTGCTTACCTTTCTATTCGTGTCGGTCTCTAGAATCTCGATGTCTCACCTTCCTAATCCCAATCCCTTTCTGTTTCTCTCTTCCTCTCACTAAATTTTCTGACATGCCTCAGGTCCAAATGCTCTGACTCTAATGAATGAAACTCTTCCTTTCATTCAGACCTGTATCCCTGTGTGTGTTCACTTATATTCACTGTTACTCCCTCCTCGCATTCAGTCTCCGCCCTCACAATCTTCGGGCCCTTTCGCCGCTCTTGCTCCAGACTCTGTGTGCGGGTATATCTGCCACCCTAATTAATTCCTACCTTCATAACTATCTCGTTGGGTATTTGGTGTCCCTTGTCCCCTTCCCATTCCCTCACCACAGAACCGGACAGCCTTTCCCAAACCAGGTAGTCGGGGCGTTACCCGGGAAACCACCAGATTTGGTCCCCCGGTTACCATGGAGCTCCGCTCAGTTCCACCCAGGTCCGGTGATGTTGTGCTTGCACACACGGAGTACTCTGCCAACTACGACTCCCAGAAAGCCTCTAGCTGAACGTTTTTCTCAGCAGCTCAAGAGGTAGCCGAGGGGGCGCCCCTCCTGAACCAGGGTTGCCATGGAGACGAGGAGGCTGACGGCTTCCTAGTGAGAACGGTGATTGGTGCAGAAACCTGCAAATCCTGGGAAGGCCCGCAGAGAATTGACAAAAATGTGGTGGGGGGCATGCGCCGTCTGGAAGGCGGTGCAACCATCCGTTGCTCCCAGAGAGGATTGCTCACGTCGACCGGGCCCAAACGCCTGGATTTGAGACGGGGAGTGTGGGAAGAGAAGGCCAGGAGAGCGACCTGATCGTTACCAGCGCAATCCCCTGGGGACAGGAAGAAGGGTAGAAACGGAGGTGGGGTGGGGGAAGGGCAGAAGGGCTGGAGCTGCGCGCGGAGTAGTCTGGGAAATGTAGTCTGACCTGGAGGAAGCGAACGAGAGTGCGCATGTTGAGGAGCGCTCAGCCGCCCTCGGAACACTGAAGGAATGCTGGGAGTCCCTGCACCGCGAAACTTCAGGAGGGGACTGAGATGGAGTGGGGACTACAGAGGGGAGTGGATTCTGGGGTTCCGGCTGCGCAGCTAGACCTTGAGCCTCAGCAGAGGTCTGAGAACCCCCTGTGCTGTCACGCGAGCTTTCCAATCGCCACCATTGCCACGGCGACAGATCTCTTAAGCACCCTAAAGTAGTGGCGCTTAAAGTGTGGTAGACTTCTGGGAAATGTATTTCCGGACCCTCCTCTACTTGTTTAGTGGCTGTTCCAAGTTTCTCCTAGGGTTTCGAGTTGACTTGGCACCCTGAGGCAGCAGAGGTGTGACCCACAGAAATCTAACTGCCTCTAAGTTGACGCCACCCCAATAATAAATTCAGATTTTCACAAAGTCCCAGTTGCAGAAAGTATGGAGGGAAGGGAAGTCAGCCCTATTTGCAGGTGAGGAAACTGCAGCCTGCAGAGTTCACATAGGCACAGCGGAATCAGCATTTCGGACCTTCCTTGCAGACTGTTGCTCCAGTGATTTGGGGGGGCCTTTGAGGGTCCTCAGACGTCCCTCCCCGTTACCTCCGAAAGCCAACTAAATTAGAGCTGAAGAAATGGATGGTTGCTAAATGTGATGTTATAGCTTCAGGTGTTGGAGAGGAGCAGTGGAAAGGCGTTGCCTGAGAGAAGCTGGGATGCGGGATAAGGTGGCTATCTCTTTGAGACCACACTGGGAGGGGATGCATGCCTGAGATTGGAGAGAAAACATTAATAGGCTGATAGTGGGAGTCGGGGAGGAGGCAGCAGTGGTACTGATGCCCGAATGTAAATAAAGAGGTGATTTCTGGGATGAGGCTGCTGGTATAGAAAAGGATAGGATTCAGGGAAGAGAAATGAAAAGAACAGGATTTAGGGAGGAACCTAAGCAGCAGCCTGTACTTAGAACAGGAGAAGCTACCAGACATTGCATAGGCCCAGCTGGAAAGATCAGCAAAGCAAGTGGCTCTGCTGAGTTCCCATGGCTCTCTGGGGTGTGGCTGGCCTGTCAGTGCCTGTTCCCTCACGGGTACTCTGTGGAGAAGGTCTCAGGGGCAAACAACACAGCATACAGTAGGCACTCAGTAAGCATTCGCTGCCACTGTCTGTCCTTACTCCAGATGCCTCACACTGTTCCTTCCCTAGGGACCTGAGACCTGATCTGGTACTCCTGATGAGACCCACTGTGCTGGGTTCCCCAGGCCGTGCACCCCCAGAAAATGAGCCTGTTGTGGTGAAGCTGGAGGACACTGAGGAGGAGGAAGAAGGCAGTCTGTGGGACCCGGGCCCTGAGGCTGCACGTCTACGCTTCCGGTGCTTCCGTTATGAGGAGGCAATTGGCCCTAGGGAAGCCCTGGCCCAGCTCCGAGAGTTGTGTCGCCAGTGGCTCCGCCCAGAGGTACACTCCAAGGAACAGATGCTGGAACTCTTGGTGTTGGAACAGTTTCTAGGTGCACTGCCTCCTGAGATACAGGCCCATGTGCAAGGGCAGTGGCCAGGCAGCCCTGAAGAGGCTGCTGCCTTGGTTGACGGACTTCGATGGGAGCTGGATGGACCTCGGAAATGGGTGAGTCAATAGCTGAGTGGAAGGTCAGGGCTGGATCCTTCGTGTGGTTGCTCAGGGCAGAAGCCCATACCTCTATTACCTGTCATCCCCCAAGCTAGATGAGACACAAAGGGTACCCGGCAGCCCTGTGCCAGCAGAGAGCCCTTTTGCTTTCTGCTTGGGGACAGGGAAGGGAAGGGGGAGGACTTTGGAAGACCTACCCATTATGTATTGACCAGGAAGTCCTGCAGTAGAGTGGGTGCCCATGGAGCATGGGTTGTACCCAGCTCCACTCTGTCCTTCTTCGATGCATCTCTCTAGGTCACAGTCCAGGTACAGGGAAAGGAGGTCCTATCAGAAAAGATGGAACCCTCCAGCTTCCAGCCTTTCCCTCACATCAAGCTCCAGACTCCAGAGCCTGGGGCTGAAACTCCCCCTAAGGCCATGCAGGAATTGCCAGTGAACCTTCAAATGAAAGAGGAGGAGACAGAGGTGATGGAGAATCCAGGTGAGAGTAGACAAAGTGGGTGGGGCTTCAAGCCTGCCTGGGCCAAGCTGCCTACACTCCACTAAGCCAGGCTCTGCTAGATGAAATAGTTCTAGTGTTGCCCCTGGCCTTCGTCTACCCTCCAGTCTAGCCGCCACAGCCCCATTTCCACAGTTTTCCCCAAGCATCATGGGACACGCCGCCCCGGGACCCACAGAGATGCAGAGGCACAAACCAGCGCTTGTCTCAACTGTTTCCCTTCTAGAAAGCCCTACTTGACCCCATTCCCAACTGGGTCATCAGCTACCCTGCCTTGTCCTTCCCAGCCTTGAGTTCATGCCCTATCGCCTTTGTGTCTGGAACCCAGCACCTAGCACTGCTAGGGAGGGTATGAACTTTCCTGAGCTGCCTGACCCCACTCTTTCTCCCCAGAACTCCTGGATTCTGGGCCTCTTCCTGCTGCCCAAGAGGCTACAGCTGCCCTCCTACCTAAGGAGGCCCAGGTGAGCCCTACACAGAATGTGAGCCACCCCTTGCCCTAAGAGCCTCTAATGGGAGGGTGGCCCAGCCAGGCACAGTCCAACAGTGACCACTGTGGTTGCAGGGCCATGGGACAGCACTGGACCAGATCTCTCCTCACAGCGACACTGAGCCTGATGTGGCCCCATGGAGTGAGGACCCTGTAGCCCTGTGGCAAGAGGAAGTAGGGGGCATCTTCTCACCAGGTTAGTGAGACAGACACAGTGGGACTGAATCCTCCTCATGATCCCCTACACCCACGAATCCTTGTGTCCCTATACAAGACAGCCTCATCTCTGCAGTAGCTCCTTTAGCATTCTCTGCCCTTGGCTCCTCCTGACTCTGCCCTGCATCATAATACCTTCCTGGAAACAGACCTTGTCTTCCCCCATACCCACATCCTGTGTCCAGTCGTGGAATTCTGCATGGCCTCCAGACTCTGGTCTGCATCTTGAAGGTTGGATACCAGAGCAGGGAAGTTTGGGACCTGGTGAGGAAAGCCTATTAGTAGATAAGGCAAAAGTAGTTCTGAGAACTGCTGAGAAGGGACCAGGACCCCGCCTCCTCTTTCTTGATTGACTTCCCTGTGTAAGGGCATCATCCTCTGAATTCTGGTGAAGGAGGTAAATTTTCGAGAGGTTACAGATCTGAAATCCAGTTGTCTAGTCCATGTTAGGTAGTTTATTTTTCCACACTGGGTAGGGAACTCAGGGATTGGGCATGCTAGGCACGCACACTGTCACAGAGCTCCACTCCCAGCTTCCCACTGCTGGCTATGGACAAGAATTCTACTACTGAGCCCTACTTTAACCTCTCTGCTGGAGCCAGGTATTTGTCCCACCACTGAGCCATGCTTTAGCCCGGCCTAGGTAGGAGTTTTACCACTGAGCTGTACCTGCAGTCCCAGAACTGTTCTGTTAGACTCAGTCTGGGGCCTCTCTTGTTTGTTTAATTTCTGCTGTTGACAAGTCCTCTCTATTTGAAATTCACATATCTCCTAGTAGGGAACTGCCATGAGATGTTTCTTTGGAGCATGACGTGATGGTGTAACCGAGGCTCTTGGCCTCTGGGGTGGTCCTTCATTGTTATCACTCCAGCTTCCCACCCCGTTTTGTGTGTTTTAGCACACATGTAGATAGAGTTCAGACAACAACTTGCAGGAGTCAGTTTTCTCTCCCTGTCATGAGGATCCTGGGACTCAAATTCAGGTCATCAAGCTTGGCAGCACACTTGGGAAGAAGAGAACACCCAGCAGTCACCGGGCCTGACCAGCCCTGCTTGTGTTGCCTAGAGACCACGTTGTCTTGCTTGGACCTGCTCCTCTCTTCACCCACAGTTCCAGTCTCTTAGCTCTCCTGCAGGCACATTGGCACCATTGTTTCCAGCCCCTTAGTTGCTTCCTCCTTGGGCCACTCTTGCTGTAGATAACCACACTTCTTGCTTTCAAACATCAATTCATCTTCACCTCCATGACTCCTGTCATGCCCCTTGGCTGCTTGACTCATCCTCCAGCTGTGACTTTTGTGGAGGCCAGAGTTTTGGTTATTGGGAGAGGGTCCTGCTTTGTTTTGAGACAGGGTCTGCTATATCCCAGGTGGGCCTGGACCTCAATATGTAACTGAGATGGATCATGAACTACTGATCCTCCTGCCTCTACTTCCCAAGTGTTGGAATTATAGGTGCAGGATACCTCTCCTAGTTTAGGCAGTGTTGTGGCCAAAACCAAGGGTTTCATGCATGCTACAAGAAGTCTACCAGCTGAGACAAGTCACAGCCCTGTTGGTGATTTGGTGGTGGCGCACGCACCTGGGTGTGTGCATACAAAGGCGTGCATGTTTGTGTTTGTGCACACACTTGTACACCAGGGATTGAACCCTGGCCTTTTACACACACTAAACATGCAGTCTACTATGAGAGCTATACTCCCAGAGATCTTTCTAGTGCTTCATTATATCACCATCTTAAATGTTAACACCATGCCAGAGACAGCATTAACAGGCTGGTAACATGCCGATACAAATGAACTCACTAAAGACACAAGGCAGGGGGCTGGAGAGATGGCTCAGAGGTTGAGAGCACTGGCCGCTTTTCCAGCAGTCCTGAGTTCAATTCCCAGCAGCCATGTGGTGGCTCACAACCATCTATAATGAGATTTGGTGCCCTTTTCTGGCCTGCAGGGATACATGCAGGCAGAACACTGTATACATAATAAATAAATAAATCTTAAAAAAAAAAAAAGAAAGACACAAGGCAGAAGTAGTTTAATATATGGTGGGACCTCAGAAGACAAGACCGTAAACAGAGCCTGTCTCCACAGAGCCATTCCATGAGGCTGCTTTGGGTAGCAGTGAGTCGCCATGTGTAGAGTGAAGCAGCATCTCCGTGTCCTGGAGCCCTGAGATGTCTGCATTTGGGGTGTATCCTGGTTAGCAGCTGCATGTGTAGCCTTGTCTTATCCCGAGTCAGAAATGGCTCAGTGGGACTACCCATGCTAAACAGGCATCTACACTTTGCAGCCAGGGCAGTTAATAGTCCTGCTCAGATGTGGCAGCTTCCTTACCCTGAACCCGCCCTACCATGAAGCAAAAGCAAGCTTGTTTCCCAAGGTTAGACCAGCTCAGCACAGCCTCCACAGTTAATACATTCACATGGTGAAAACTCCAAAAGGTGTACAAAGAGCACACAGTAGAGTGCCCCATCTGTGCCCAGCAGTCAACACAAGTTCTCTGTGCCTTCCGGAAAGAATCTGTATGCAAAGCAGACACAGTCTAATCATGCACTGCATTAACAGTGTGCTGGTCAACCCAGATCAAAAATAACAATTACCTTACAATATTGCCAAAGCTGGATATGGCTTTACACACCTAGCACTTGGGAGGTGGAGGCAGGAGGCAGGCAGAAACTGGAGGATTGCCATGTCTTCAGGGTCAGTTTGGACTACAGTGTGACATCTTGTCTCAAAAAGTTGTGGCTGGTAAGATGACTCAAGCAGAAAGAGTACTTGCTAAGCCTGGCAGCGAGAATTCAATCTCTATGACCCACTTGGTGGAAGGAGAGAGTCTTTCCCACGGCTTGTCTTCTGACCCCCACATATGCATCATAGCATGCCCATGGCCATAGAGACACACACACCAAAAATAATTTCTTTATTTCTTTATTATGTATACAATATTCTGTCTGTATGCCTGAAGGCCAGAAGAGGGCGCCAGACCTCTTTACAGATGGTTGTGAGCCACCATGTCGTTGCTGGGAATTGAACTCAGGACCTTTGGAAGAGCAGGCAATGCTCTTAACCACTGAGCCATCTCTCCAGCCCCCCAAAAATAATTTCTTAATGTAAAAATCAAAAACCATTTGACAACACCGTTCTCAAGAGTTTTCCCTTTGGTTAAACAACCTATTCCTGTGCAGCCAGGTGCACTGTAGCCTTATATAAACACACCTAGAGCCAGTCTAGATACGTAGCGAAACATTGTTTCAAAAGCACAAAGCAAACAAGGAATGATAGCATCCACCCTTAATCCCAGCACCTAAAAGAGGCAAAGGCAGACAGATTTCTGTGAATTTAAAGCCAATGTAGACTACATAGCAAGTTCAAGATTGCCAGAGCTACATAGTGAGACCCATTTTGTTTTGTTTTTGGTTTAAAACAGTTGGTTTTGGTTTAAAAAGCAGAAAAAAGAAAAGGCTTTTTTTATGGGGCTGGAAAGATGGCTGAATGGTTAAAAAGACAGGTTGCTCTTCGAGAGGACCTGGGTTTGAGTCCCAGCACCCGCAATGGTAACTTGAAATTGTCCCAGAGGATGAGGCTGGCTATTGTAGGAACTGCATACACGTGGTACACAGACATACATACAGGCAAAACACCCATATACATCTAAAATAAAAAATTTAAAGACAAAAGGGTCTTTTGCTGTGGTGATGGTAGTTTGGATTTTTGTGTTTGTGGCTTTTTTTTTTTGTTGGTGGTGGTGGTTTGTTTGCTTTTGTTCCTTGTTTTTCCTTGTGGTTGGTTTTTTTCTGTGTAACCAGGGAGTCTTGACCGCACTATGTATCAAAGGCTGGTTTCAAACTTATGTCAGCCTTCTTGCCACCAAGAGTGCTGGAATTATAGGCATGCACTACCATGCACTGCAAGAAAAGTTCAAAAAGAAGAAAATGTTTAAGGGACTAAAGATAAACAGATAAGAGGACCAGGTTGGGCACCTAGCATTCAGGTCAAGCAAACTGACAACCTCCTATAACTCCAGCTCCAGTAACCTTGGAGGTCACAGTACTCACATGCACATTACACATACACATATATACACAATTTAAAATAAAAATACTGGGACATAGCCGGCCAATTGGTGGCACATACCTTTAATCCCAGCACTCAGGAGGCAGAGGCAGAAGCAGGTGGAACTCTGTCAGTTGAAGGCTAACCTGGTCTACAAAGTGAGTTCCAGGACAGCTAGGGCCATACAGACTCTGTCTCAAATAAAAATAGTATTTTCAAATGAACAAGCCTGGGGCTGGAAAGAATAGGTGCCTCACAACCATCTGTAACTCTAGGGAATCTGACACCCTCTCTGGCCTCCTCTGGCCCCAGGCACACACATGGTGCACAGACATACATATAAGCAGACAAAACACTCATACACATAAAATAGATTAAAAAATTTTAATGAACAAACCAGGTAAAGCAAGGCATATCTTTAATCCCAGCACTCAGGAAGCAGAGGCAGGTGGATCTCTGTGAGTTTAGGACCAGCCTGGTCTGCAGAGTGACAGCCAGGGATATATAAGTGAGACTCTATCTCAAAAGGCTAAACAAATAAATAGAAAATGAACCAACCTTGCTTGGTTCACCAGGACCCCCATGGTGAAAGGAAAAGACCAAATACTGCAGGTTTCCCCCTGACCTGCACATGTGCACTCCAGTATAAGTACACGCACACACCAATATGTAGGCTAAAAATATATTTTAAAAAACTTAAGGCTTGGGTTGGAGAGATGGCTCAGAGGTTAAAAGCACTGGCTGTTCTTCCAGAGGTCCTGAGTTCAAATCCCAGCAACCACATGGTGGCTCACAACCATCTGTAATGAGATCTGGTGCCCTCTTCTGGCCTGCACATGTACATGCAGACAACAGACTACATAATAAATAAAGAAATAAATCTTTTTTTAAAAAAACCTTGGGCAGAAGCAGGCGGATCTCTGTGAGTTCAAGACCAGCCTGGTCTACAAGAGCTAGTTCCAGGACAGGCTCCAAAACCACAGAGAAACCCTGTCTCGAAAAACCACAAAAAAAAAAAAAAAAAAAAACCTTGAGGCTAGAGAGTGAGCTCAGTGGTTAAGAGTGTTTATGGCTTTTCAAACACATCTCAGGATGTTCACAATGTCCTGGAACTCCAGTGCCAGGGGATCTGATACCCTCTGACCTCCTAGGGCCCTGCATACACATGGTACAATTAAACTATGCAGTCATGTATATATGCACATATTTACAAAGACTCTTTTTTTTTAAATATTTATTTATTTATCATGTATACAATATTCTGTCTGTGTGTATGTCTGCAAGCCAGAAGAGGGCACTAGACCTCATTCCAGATGGTTGTGAGCCACCATGTGGTTGCCAGGAATTGAACTCAGGACCTTTGGAAGAGCAGGTAATGCTCTTAACCACTGAGCCATCTCTCCAGCCCCCTACAAAGACTCTTTATGGGCCAGGTGGTGGTGGCACACACTCTTAATCCCAGCATTCGGGAGGCAGAGGCAGGTGGGTCTCTGTGAGTTTAAGGCCAGCCTGGTCTACAGAGTGAGTTCCAGGACAGCCAGGGCTACACAGAGAAACCCTATCTTGAAAAACAAAACAAAAAGAAAAAAAGAAGAAGAAAGAAAGAAAATATTCATGGATTCCCAAATGACCTCATTCCCCTCTTTTCATGCCATGTGCTTGGCAAACAGCAGGGGTGGTCACGGGTCTTCACACAGCTCTGAAGACTCACTGTGGTCCACACTCACTCCCTTGTCCACAGTTCTTTGGATTGATTCTCATTAAATACTAGAAAACCCTGTGCATAGGTCATTGACACCAGGAGAAATACAGCTACTAAACAGGAATACCTAGAAGTATAATTCCTGGGATGGTGTGAAACACCGCTGTTTTGATTTGTGTTTCCAAGAAAGTATCTCATGTAACCCAGCTGGCCTTGAACTTGATTGCAGTAGATGACAACCTTGAACTCCTACCTCCATCCCCCAAATTCTGTGAATGGAAGTACTCACCTCCACACACAATTTGATAAAAATTTCCAACCCAGCCTGTGTTGTACCAGCAATGCATACAAACACTTAATATGGAAACAAAGCTAGAGACATGGCTCAGTGGTTAAGAGCACACTGGCTTCTCTTGCAGTTCCCAGCACCCACATGTCAGCTTACAATTATCTAACTCTGATCTCAGGAAATCCAACCCCCGACTTTGGCCTCCACAGGAACTGTAGCCACATGGTCTCACATGGTATACACACAGCCAAAACACCTACACACCTACACACACACACACACACACACACACACACATACACACAATCATAAAAAAGGAAAAGATTATGCTAACAGGTTAGGAGATGTAGCTCAATGATAGAACATTGGCCTAGCACGAGACTTCCTGGGTTCAAGTCCCATCACTGGAAAAAAAAAAATGCTGCGGCTAGGAAACAATGTGTCAATGCAGCCCTACTGTGAATTCTCCTAAACAGGGACTAGCATGTTGAGTAGAGCTTAAACAATTAGTTACATTATTTCTTGTTCACACACTTCCACAGTGTGGCTGTCAGCACGCTATGAATTGACTGAAGCTTCTGTAGTGATTTAATTATTCCTTAGTCTCTGGAGAGTTATTAGCGTGGCTTTTGATTCTGGTTTCCTTTTGTGCATTCTAATTTCTCTTAATTCCCTTTGGTGCCTCATGGATTTTCTGTCATTCATTTTGTCTCCAGCCTCAGTTGCCTGGGTGGACACCTCATCCCTCGATTAGCCTCATATCTTGGAAGCTCACTCTGTAGTCCACTGTGCCTCAGGCTTGCACCTTGGACGGCTCATTCTGTAGCAGGAACATGCTTCTACAAACAGCTCTCATGTTGATCACATGTAGGCTTGTGTTCATCTCATCCCCAACCTCCAACCCTACATGCAGTCCTCTTACTCTAGTATGTTTGGGCCATCTCAAGTGTGGCAAGTCCAAATCCAAAACTAAAAAACTGTATTCCCACCCTTACTGCTTCCTGTTGATGTTTTTCTGGTCTTTATTGAATCTACATTCTTTGCATCTTCCCAGACCCTCACTCCTCACCTAAACTGGGCCCCACTATCACCCACTTCCACAAAGAGGTGTTAGTTTTCTCCCAGCGACTTAAGTCAAATCAGGAAAGCCTTCACACATACCTCAGGGAAATCTGTCCAGATACAACTGCCACTCTCATCTCCTGTCTGCATTACCTACCAGTTCCAGGCCTATAGTTAAGTCTCCCAGAATTCGGTGGGTTAGGGCAGAAAGCCAGAGTCTCATGAAGCAATGGGTCCCCTTGTACAGGGTTTGCGCTTCAGATGGACACGGCAGAGCCAGAAACGGTGAGCCCCCACCTCCATGTTCCCTGGGATCTCGACATGGCTAGCCTCTCTGGACAGATGCAGTCCCCCTCCCGAGAAGGTGGCTCCGCCCATGCCCTCGTGCTCCCCAGCAACCCGGGAGGTGAACAGGACCCTGCCTGCGAGAATCCCTGCCCCGGTGTGGGCCCAGCACTGGTGGCGACTCGCAGGCATGCCCCAAAGAGCCGGAGCCGGGGCCGCCCTAGTACCGGGACTGGAGCGGTGCGAGGCGGCCGCTGTGACGTGTGTGGCAAGGTTTTCAGTCAGCGAAGCAATCTGCTGCGGCACCAGAAGATCCACACGGGTGAGCGACCGTTCGTGTGTGGCGAGTGCAGCCGCAGCTTCAGTCGCAGCTCTCACCTGCTGCGCCACCAGCTCACGCACACCGAGGAACGGCCTTTCGTGTGCCGTGACTGTGGCCAGGGCTTCGTGCACAGCGCGCGCCTGGAAGAGCACCGGCGAGTGCACACTGGTGAGCAGCCATTCCGCTGCGCAGAGTGCGGCCAGAGCTTTCGGCAGCGCTCCAACCTACTACAGCACCAGCGCATCCACGGTGACCCGCCCGGCCCAGCGCCACTCACCCTGCCCCTCCCGGGAGTTCCCGAGCCCCCGGGCCCCTTCCCGTGCAGCGAGTGCTGTGAGAGCTTCCCACGCCGTGCAGTGCTGCTAGAGCACCAGGCGGTGCACACTGCGGACAAGTCCTTTGGATGCGTGGAGTGCGGCGAGCGCTTTGGCCGCCGCTCGGTGCTGCTGCAGCACCGGCGCGTGCACAGTGGCGAACGGCCCTTCGCCTGTGCCGAGTGCGGCCAGAGCTTCCGGCAGCGCTCCAACCTCACCCAGCACCGGCGTATCCATACCGGCGAGCGGCCCTTCGCCTGCGCCGAGTGTGGCAAAGCCTTCCGCCAAAGGCCCACACTCACGCAGCACCTGCGTGTGCACACAGGCGAGAAGCCCTTCGCCTGCCCCGAGTGTGGCCAGCGCTTCAGCCAGCGACTCAAGCTCACGCGCCACCAGAGGACCCACACGGGCGAGAAGCCCTACCACTGCGGTGAGTGCGGCCTCGGCTTCACGCAGGTGTCCCGGCTCACTGAGCACCAGCGCATCCACACAGGTGAGCGTCCTTTCGCTTGCCCCGAGTGCGGCCAGAGCTTCAGGCAGCATGCCAACCTCACCCAGCACCGGCGCATCCACACGGGCGAGCGGCCCTACTCGTGCCCCGAGTGTGGCAAAACCTTCCGCCAGCGGCCCACGCTCACGCAGCACCTGCGCACCCACCGGCACGAAAAGCCCTTCGCCTGCCAGGACTGTGGCCGCCGCTTCCGCCAGAGCACCAAGCTCATTCAGCACCAGCGTGTGCACAGCACTGAGTAGGTCAAAAACACCTCACACTGTTGTTGTGAGGCTGGCATCGACAACAGGCCCGCTGAGGGCCAGGTCTTCAGTAGGTACTCAATAAATAGATGATGCTTCCCCACCTGCACGGTTCTTCTGCCCACCTTATGGCTGTTTCAGCTTGGGCATATCCTCTGAGCCTTGGCCTTCCGTATACTTCCCAAGTAACCGTACCTACCACACCTGCTCTCTTGTGGGATATACTCTGTACCATACCTCTGGCTTTTACAATAGGACTCAGATGGTGAAAAGTAGCCACACTCACACAAAAAAATTAACCAGGGTCTAGTCGAGAGAGCTACCTGGACGGTGGTGGCCCATGCCTTTAATCCCAGCAGTCTGGAGGCAAAAGCAGTTGGATATCTGTGAGTTCGAGGACAGTCTGGTTTACAAAGTGAGTTCCAGGACAGCCACAGCTAGAGCTGTTACCCAGAGAAACCTTGTCTCAAAAAACAGAAACAACAAAAAGGAAAGAAAAAAAGGGGGGGAAAAAAACAGGGAGGGGGTGGCTGGGGAGGTCCACCATGACAAAGGGACAAAGGGTAGTCCAGCTGAATGTGGTGGCACCCTAGCACTTCAGAGGATGAGAAAGGACTACAGAGTTTTAGGCTAGTCTGGGCTACACCATAAGCTGCTATCTCAAAAGCACACACTGAGTGTGGTGGCACACGCCCATACCCCAGCAGATAGAGGGCAGAGGCAAAAGCACTGCCATAAGTTCAACAGGTAGGTGAGAACATGTCCAGAAAAAAAGCCCAAATACAACTATACAAATGTGGTGGTGTAATGGTAACCGGCTTGTAATCATTCCAGCTATTGCAGGAGGCTGAGGCAGGTGGACTGCTAGCTAGTTCAAGGCCTGCTTAGCATACAGACCTATCTCAAAACAAAAACCCAGGGCTTATGGGATTGGGTGGGGTGGCTCAGTGGTAAAGCCACTTGTCATCAAGCCTGATGACCTGAGTTTGATCCCTAAAACCACATGTTGGAAGGCGACAACCAACTGCTGAAAGTTGTCCTCTGACCTGCACAAGCTGTGTGTATGTGTTTTTCTGTTATGTGTGCACATGTACATACACGGGTAAAGAAATAAATGGGGGAGAGCCTTTAAAAGAGGGCTAGGAATGTAGTTTATGGATGGGTTGTTTGTCTAACATTCACCAGGCCCTGGGATCAGTGCCTTCTGCTTTAAAGACCATTTTATGAGTTGGAGAGAAAAACAAATCTTGGTTGCAGCTGAGAAGAGAGAAATGGACAGGAAAGAGAGGGAAAGAGGAAGACAGAAGCATGCCATTTGAGTCAGGGTCCCAGGAAGCAGGAAGGTTCAGCTGTGGTTGTCAGCAATCAGCTGGATGGGAACAGCAGGGCTGGAGTTATCGGAGAAGGTGAGAACGTCCAGAGTAAGAAGATAAGCACACTTAGGACTTTAGCGAGTATTCAAAGAGAGGGGGATAAGAAAAGTTATGCTTTTTGAGCTAGAACTCAGAAAAGTGGGCAGGCTTAGCAGTGAAGATCTCTGGCAGCTTCCTAGTGCTTTACATTTTTAAAGTAATGAACTGTCAAGGAGGTAAAGCTTTGGGGGGAGGAGCCACTCATTGCTCATCCTGTGCCACGGTGATTGAGAATCCCAAGGACCTTCAGGGCCCTTCTCTCCAGAGAGCTAGAAGGCCTGACTCTAGGTAGTGTGTACACTACTACCACAAGGGCCTTGGCTGCCAGGTGAAGAGTCTGGCTGGTGAAGGGCCACAAGGCCACTCTGCTCAGCCCCTGTGGCACCCTGTTTCTCAGAGCAGCAGGTTGAAAGGCCTCTGCGGAGTCCCCACCCTGCAGCGATGCCCAGAGGCAGGAACTTGGAGAAAGGATCTCGTGGTGCCTTGATACTCTCACCAAATTCCAGAGCCTCCAAAGGGATTGCCCACCTCTCTTGTGCCCTCCATCTTGCTAAGTCAATACCAGCAACTCCCATGACATTGTTTCCCTGTGCCCAAACCCACTGTCCATTCACTTTCCTCCTAACAGCACCCCACCCCGAACCCCTGAAACAGTCATAAGCAGAAAGTCAAAGCTTTCTTCCCACCAGCAGGATGGGCACTGAGTGAACATGGGAGGTGCCATAAGATAAACACCAGATTGGGAGGTTTAACCTGGAAACTCAAACATTTCAGTATTTTCTTGTCCTCATGGGTTTGTAACTAACAGGTACTAAGAAGGAATGAATGAGACCCCGAATTGTGGAGCACAGACTTCAGGACCAGTTGCTCGATCCTCTGGATTCTGTTCCCCTCACTCCAAACACCATGGCTCTGTTCATAGCTCTACAGGGGTCTCCTTCACACTGGGGATTCTTCAGGAGTGCATTCTGCAAGAAGTGACAGGATATACAGCTGACAACAGTTTGCATGACCCTGGACACTTCAGGCCTGGTGTCCCATGCCATTTCCCCCTTTCAATAGCCACCTTCCCTTCCATCTATGACTTTGACACAGCTGCCCCCTCCCATGGATTACTGGGGTGCAAGTAGTCAAAGAAGACCCATTTACCACAATTCATTCAGCTTGAGCCCTAAACCCAGGTTGAGGTCTTTCTCTGGGTAGTTGTCAGACCAGTTCTGGGAGGTCCCAGGAACACCATTTTAAGGTCTGCATGTCCAAGCTGCTTCACTTGTTCCTGCCACTTCATGACACCCAAAACCGGGATCTGGCCTCAAGGAAAATAAACAAGCCAAACCAAGTCAGAGGCTGATCCTGTGTGACAGAGTGAGGGCAGGGGGAATCCCTGGTCCCTGTGACACTCCCTTGTTCCCTCCAACTGTCAGTTGTGATGGGACAAAGACACAGCTCCATGAGGCCACTTAGCGGCCCATGGAACACCCTTCATCTTATGGAGATATGGACTCAGACCAAACTGAGATTCATGGTTCCAATGCAGAAAAGAATTTCAGCCCTAGCCAGTATGATGCAAAGTTGGAGATTTTATTTTTTTTTATTTTTTTTAAAGATTTATTTATTTATTATATATACAACATTCTGCCTCCATGTATGCCCACATGCCAGAGGAGGGTACCAGATCTCAGATGGTTGTGAGCCACCATGTGGTTGCTGGGAATTGAACTCAGGACCTCTGGAAGAGCAGCCAGTGCTCTTAACCGCTGAGCCATCTCTCCAACCCCAAAGTTGGAGATTTTATTAAACATATTGTAAATAAGCTTTAAGCATGAGAGAAGTGCTCAAAATGACTTAACCAAGTGTGGATGTGTTTTCCACGGAAGAATGGGGGTGGGGGGAATAGTGGATGTGGGATCTTCAAGGAAGAGTCTCAACTGTCTTAGCATTAGCTACATAAAATACTTTTTTTGGGTGGCTCTCAAATTACATTTCAAAGGGTTGCTAAGAAACCTTTTCCTACCATCTCCAGACAAGCCTTGGATAGAATTATCATCTCATAATGTAAAACAAAAGCTACTAAAGTGTACAGGTTCAGTACACGTCCTTGCCCTGTAAATGGAGTTTCTGGTGAAATTCCTAAAAACATTGTAGGAATTACAATCCCGAGTGCTTGCGATTAAAGACGTGTGCCACCAGCACCTGGTTTGTACTGGCATTCTTGCTTATGCATGAAAAGAGGGTTCAACCAGGCTCCAGGGTCAGAAGTTCTATCCCTTTCTCGGGTCCCCGTAATTTTCAGTGTTCTCTTCTACCTCACAGACCAGCAAAGATCCTGAACCAAACGCCTTTAAATCCAGCACTCAGGAGACAGAGGCAGGCAGATCTCTATGAGTTCCCCAGGCCAGCCTGGTTCACAGAGTGAGTGCCAGGACAAGTTCCAAAGATACAAAGAGAAACCCTGTCTCAAAAAAAAAAAAACAAAACAAAACAAAAACCAAGGAAGATCCTGAACTTTAGAATAAGCAGACTTTAGAATCTGAGCAGTGGCGAAAGGACTCAGGCAGGGAAGTACTAGAACGCTGTAGAACTGCAGGACTACAAATAGCCCAAGCCCATTTAGTCCTGAGACCCTGGGAGGCCAGGAGGGACGTACCTGTGAGCACCTGTGAGCACAGCACTCCGAAAACTGCAGCAGAAAATGTGAGTTCAAGGTCAGCTTGGACTACCTGCTGAGTTTGGGCCAGGGTTGGGTGTTGGGTGGAAGAAGAAAGGTAAAGCCACAAAAGCAGCAGCTGTACAATAATCAGCATAAAGCTGTGCACCTGAGGAACGGTAAAGAGTAGTTCTGGAGTGATTGTTTTTCTCTGGGTCTCAGTGTGGGCTTGAGGTCAGGGCAGATGGTGTAGGCCAGGTTGGCATCAAACCCAAGCTGAGTCCCCATCCTTGGCCCCAACTTCTCTCAGCTTTTAAAGATAAAGTCAAAAAAGGCTGCTGGGGGTGGGCCACTGAGATGACAGAGGGCTGAACGGGGACTAGACTTAAAAGGTCAGGAAGAGAGGGTGGTGGTGGTGGCCTTTAATCACAGCACTCGGGAGGCAGAGGCAGGCAGATCTCTGTGAGTTCCAGGACAGCCAGGGCTACACAGAGAAACCATCTTGAAAAACAAAACAAACAAAAATAGGTCAGGAAGATTAGGGCGCTGCCAGCAAGGGTGTATAAAGTCCCAAACGTAGAATCGTGGTTCATGCTTGGTGGTATGAATGATATGCCAGATGGCAAAGAAGGGCCTTTGCTTTATAAAGACGTAGTCCCAACCTGTTCTAGGTATGATTTTCAAGCGGTGACCAGACCAGCGCAGAAAAGCCTAACATCCACCGTGGCTACTTGCTGGTTTCCTAGATGACAGTCGAAAGACACTGGCTCATCCTAAGCTATTTCCTTCTGCCTCCCAAATATCCTAAATTGTGACTGGATGCGAGCTGACTCAACCTAGATCTGCCAGAGGCACAAGGCCACTTCTGCTGGTCTCTAGACCGCAGCTATGGACACTGTACCCACGTCCACCTTGGATCGTAAAACTACACGGCGCTCACTCCCTGTTGCACAGTAGAAATCTATTTTAAGGAACAAGGGCCTCGATGTGTTTGTTGCCTAGTATGTCCTTAAACGCCTGAGCTCAATCGAACCTGATGCCTCGGCCTCCAGAAAAATAAAGAGTTTTAAGCTAATCTACATCAATCGGAATCTGAATTTGCGAAGGGATTAAGGGGCTCAGACAACGTCCCTTATAATGCCCAGGCTCTGCCTTTGCTGAGTCCACATAGAACAAGATCCATTTTAGCCCGTTCCCGCTGCGTTCCGCATGAGCGCAAGATTGGATGGAACCACCAAAAACCAAACGGCCACTACCCGCCTCGCTCAAAAAATGGTTGCAAGCACCGCTTCCTACTCTGCTGTGCATCCCAGGAAGTACCCGCTGGACCGCCGAATAGTCACCTCCACAAACGGAAATAC